GCGCGCGCGCGCGCGCGCGCTCAAGTTCACTCACAATCGCGCCCGCGGGTCGTTCCCGCGCCGTCACCAGTACCTGGGCGGGAGACACGCGCCTTGTCGGGCCACGCAGCGGGGCTCCCACGGCTAAGGAGAGCGAGCCACCGCGGCACATGCACGCGCACTGTGACACGCGCCATTCTGACACGTGCTTTCACACACTCCCCAAACACCGCCGCTGCTGGCGCTCTCACCTACACTCACCTGCTGGGAACTCACCTGCGGGAGGGCCAAGTCGGGGACTCTGAGGGAATGAGACTTCTGGGGGCATGCGAAGTAGAAATGGTCCCAGAATCGTTTCGGGATCCTCACTGGACTGTGAGTTCCGAGAGCCATGCCTGTGTGGTGAAGGCTCAGCCAGTGCCGAGCACAGCGCCTAAAGCTCCGTAAATCTGTTTAATAAAGTGAATGAATCAGTGAACGAAGAAATTGGAATTGCCTAGGAACATCTTAAAAAACAAAACCCCAAATTCACTGCTATCGAGTCAATTCCAATTTATAGCGACTCTAGAGGTCAAAGTAGAACTGCCCGTGTGGGTTTCAGAGACTTTTCACAAAGAAGTACACAGCCTCATCTTTCTCCTGCACGAGGACTGGTGTTTTAAAACCGCTGACCTTTCAGTTAGCAGCACAGAGTGTAAGAATTCCGACCTATTCTGGCTCAAGAATTTCACCGCAGTATGAGGTTCGATAAATGAATTAAAATGGGAACCCAATCGTCCCTTGTGTTTGTCTTCCTTGTTAAGTGCAACCAAATCGCCTCAGACCCATAGCGACCCCATGCACAGCAGAAGGAAACACTGCTCCCTCCTGCACCGTCCTCCTTTTCCTATGCTTGAGCCCATTTTTACAGCCACCTTGTCAATCAGTCTCCTTGAGGCCTCCCTCTCTTTCACCACCCCTCCACCATGTACTGCAGTCTACAGTTACAGTCTTGGAAACCCACAGAGGGATCTCTACCTGTCAGCAAGGACTCCATGGTGGTGAGTTTGTTTGGCTGCTCTATCAAGCATGATGTCCTTGCCCCGAAAGGTATAGAAAACCTATCCATTCCATCAAAGTCTCTGTCACTGATTTACATTCCTATCTTAATTTAAATGCCACACCTTTTAGGGCAGGAACCATTCCCAAAATACATGCCCTGAAGCTTGTTTTGTGCACAAACGGGCACAAGCCGATGCTCAGTTAAGAAGGAATTAAGGAGCACTTTGTTCTAACAATTCGGCAGTCTGAGATGCTCACCTTCCTGGCTTTATTGCTGAAGACAACGGGTGCACAAGCAAATGTGCTAAAGGAAAAGATAGAGTGTCTGGGGTCTTAAAGGCCTGAAGATAAACAAGCGGCGATCTAGCTGAGAAACAACAAAATCCACGTGGAAGAAGCACACCAGCCTATCCCATCAGGATTGCTGAAGACAAAGTGGGTGCATAAGCAAATATGGTGAAGGAAGCTGATGGTATCCAGCTATCAAAAGATAGGGGTCTTTTTAACTGGGGCCATATAGGCTTGAAGATAAACAAGTGGCCATCTAACTGAGAAACAACAAAGCCCACATGGAAGAAGCACACCAGCCTGTGAGATCATGAGGTATCGAAGGGATCAGGTATCAGGCATCAATGACCAAAAAATCATAGCATTGTGAATGAGTGGGAGTGCAGAGGGGGGACCCAGGGCCCATCTGTGGGCATTGGACAGCCCCTTGCAGAAGGGTCGTGGGGAGGAGACGCACCAGACAGGGTGCTCCTTTTCCCGCTCCCCCCACTATCATGATCCCAATTCTACCTTACAAATCCAACTAGACAAGAGGACGTATACTGTTACAGATAGGAACTGGAAACAGAGAATTCAGGACATATGATCAACTCAGGACTATTGGTAAGAGTGGCAATACTGAGAGGGTGGAGGGAAGGTGAGGGAGAAAGGGGAAACAGATAACAAGGATCTACATATAACCTCCCCCCTGGGGGACGGACAGCAGAGAAGTGGGTGGAGGGAGATGTCAGACAGTGTAAGAAGACAAAATAATAATAATTTATAAATTATCAAGGGTTCATGGGGGAGCAAGGAAGGAGGGGAAAAATGAGCTGATACCAAGGGTTCAAGTAGAAAGCAAATGTTTTGAGAATGATCAGAGAAACAAATGTACAAAAGTGCTTGACACAATAGATGTCTGCGTGAATTGTGATAAGAGTTGTACAAGCCCCCAATAAAATGATCTAATTATTAAAAAATACATTTTAAAAAAGGAATCAAGGCTTTCTACTCTCCTATTGTAAAGATATACAATTCTACTCTGCCATATAGGCACTCTAAAGGTCGGCATGGATTCTGTGGCAGTGACTTTGGTTTGGGGTCTTAGAGTGTTGCCGGTTTTTTCTCCTACCCTGTCTCACCTTGACCTTCAAACCCTGCCCCTTCTCCCCATTGCAATAAAAATATCCAACATTGTCCCTTATTTTCACTAGTTTTTTAAAAAGTTGCTGAGTGCCGGTCACTACTACAACGTGATTCTATTCGTTGATTTAGGGAGTGTCTAAGGAACGTCGGAGGAGTCCTGGTGGCACAGTGGTGACCATTTGAGAAGCGATCAGCAAAGCGCACAGTGCAGTTCAAAACTACCAGCCTCTCAGCAGAAGACAGGGCTTCCCACTCTCGTTTCAGTCTTGTACACACAGGAGCAGTTCTACCTTGTCCTCTAGGGCTGCTGTGAGTCCGAATCGACTGCATAGCAGTGAGTTTGGTCTGAGTCTTAAGGAACCTTAGTGGCACTGTAGGCTAGTCATTAGACTGCATTCTGCTCTGCCCCATTGGATCACTATGATTGGACATGGACTCAGTTGTGGTGTGTTTGATTTGATTTTGAGTACATACACAGAAGGGTCATGGGTAGCACGCACGGGTTTTGCTCAACTACTAGCCTAAAGTTTTGCTGTTCAAACATATCCAGTGGTACTGCAGAAGAAAGGCCTGGCAGTTTACTTCCATGACAGATTCCAGCCAAGAAAATCCCCGAGAGCAATTCTATTCCATCACAGATGGGGTCTGTCAGCAATGACTGTTTCCCTGCATAAAGGAGTCTCTGGATGATCCACATGGTTAACATCCTTGATTGAGAATCAAAATAATG